ATAAAACACTGTAACTGAATTTTACAGAAACTAAGCTGACATTTGCTGTCCAGTTGCTGAGAGTGAGCCCCACAACATCCCCATGAGCAGGCCTATAACATTTGGTGAAATGTGTTTTAGCCTTTGCCGTTTTCTATTGTAGTCAACCCTGTTAGCAGAACATCTCATTCACCATTGGACATATTTTAGTAAAACCTCTCAGAAGATAACTGATGGATGTACATCAGCTCATTATTGTTTGGAGTCAACCTGATCCAAGATGGCTGCCACAGATGATCAACCTCATCTCACAGAAAATCAGTTTTTACAGATATTGAGCTTAAATTTGGCACARTAGTAGCTGAGAAWCATCYTCTTCAWAWATTGCGTGTTAATACATCTAATACATGTTGCATTGCAAATAATTCTCATTTAATAAGTTTGGCCAAACTTAAGTCTGTTCCTTCCTATTATAATGTGATTTTAGTTTAAATCTCTGGCATGAAAGGTGGAAGGTGATGTGCACTTCTTCAAGGATTTCTTCAGGAGTTGAGAATTTTTTTCAGCACCCATGAAGGGCTTTGATGTYATGATCAGACAACTTCAGCTGAGGAAATTGAATTCACACGTGATTGCAGATCCTTTAAAAATGTTTTCTGCTGTAGCTGATTTTAAAATCATGTTGCTTTGTTGCTGTTAAACAAGCTTATAAGAAAATCCAGAATAGTTTCCCGCAGATGTTAGAATGCTGCGTTTCTGCTCTCCTCCTCCAAAGTCATAAATATCACCATGTTCCAAAGTTTTAAAACCAAGCCATGGCTTTTTCAATGTATGCTTTATTCACCTTTTAGCTAAAAAATATATGTAGAAATATTAATTCTATAAACCTGACAGCAGTAAGTTTCCCACCCTCTTTTTTTTTTCAAAATGGCTGTCTTTGGAAAACTATTTCTCGGCTCTTTGAAAGCCATTCAGTTAGGCACCATCTAGCTACAGATGTTCTTTGTGTCCTGAGTGCTGGGCAGCCACCCAGAAGAAACCACAGAATTACACTTTAGTTTTTGTGCTGCTGCTGGGTAAAGGAAGAAAGTTATTACAGCTGAAGTATATTGAAGTATAACGCTGGTTGAACAACCTCATTAATTGGTCCGTTCCTGTTGGTGGATGGGAGCTATGGGTGTAGGAGTTTGGGGGGACAGGGGTATAGGTTGGGGTGGGGGCAGATAAAATACGATCGAGAGATGTAATAACACGCCTTTGGGATATATGAGGGGTCAATTTCTGGAACTATTAGGGTGAAATTGCAAAGGGAAGGGAAAAGATGTGATGTGATATTGTTTTTTTTTTGCCATTTTGTTTGCTGTTTCTATGCATTCATCAAGGTGGACACACACACACACACATACACACACACACATGTTTGCACAGCTATCCAATTGGGGACATTCCATTGACTTCCATTACATTTCTACAGCCTAACCCTGACCACAAACCCTAAGGCTAACCTTACAGGTACCTACCTGACCCTAAAACTAACCTAAACTCAATTCACACCTTGGTCCTAAACACAACCCCCAACCCACCAATGGCATTTAAACCAAATGGTGGGTTGGGGTTGGGTTGGTCCTAAACCCAACCCCCAACCCACCAATGGCATTTAAACCAAATGGGGACTCGACTTTTGTCCCCAAATGCACTACTTGTCCCCAAATGTAGGATTTTTGTCTTAAAATTGCCCCCAAATGTCAGCAATGTCGACACCCCCCCCCCCACACACACACACAAAGACACACATTTTTTCTTCTATCTTCATGGGGACTTTGCATTGATTTCCATTCATTTTCAGGTCATTTAGAGCCTAACCCTGACCGCTTACCCTAAACCTAACCACCCCAGTACATAGTTAGTTAGTTAATTAGTATAGTTCACACCTTAGTCCCAACACCTGACCCACCAATGACRTTTCCCCAATGGGAATCAGGCTTTTGTCCYATAAGGAACAGTGGGTCCTCATAAGGCACRGAAAATGGTCAAAAATCATCCCTACCAAGTAACAAAGACATACACACACATATGGTTGATGGCACATATAGGCCAACAGCATATCACACAGCAGTATCATTCACTATGGGTCTCTGCACAAGTATCTATCTTTTCATCCATGTGTACATCCAAATCCCACATTATCTGGAAGATGGATGGTTTTGATGGTTTGAATACCACCTCCATCA